AATCCTCATGAACTTCAGGCAGAGACACTTCCCGCAAACTTATCAAAGCAGCACGCTAACAATTGAGCACATGCTAAAATAACAACTCCTATTCATTGCCACGAGGGAACTGGAGAGTTCTGAGAATGGGTTTCATTTTACGAGAGTGATCAACATCAACAGTACAGTTTTCAAAGCTTTTAACACTATGTCACTAGGTTGTTTGACTTCATTGTCAAGAACAAAAGGAAGCAAGAGTAGCCAACAATTTTGTTCCTTCGTTAACCTCCCAAGAGCAGGTATCTAGTGAAATTACCTCATCATGATCCGGAATTACTCTCATCATACAATTATAGTCCTCACTGGCCACTGGCCAAAGTGTTTTCCTATCTACTTTATATCTGTGGAGAGCTTATCTGGAGCTTGGTATGGTAATTCAGAGAATGAGCAAATCTGAAATCTAGATTGTAAAGCTAAATAAGAGTTCAACTCCAGTACAAAGTCTTCACATTCCAGTCATTGGAAAAAGTAGTGTCCAGGGGATGTGGGAGGCAATAGACTCACGCAAAAAAAAATTGATTGAGATGCCTATGCAATGCAAGGTGATCTCAGGATGCAACTGATGCTCAAGGAGTATTTAACCAAAAACTACCACAATTCATGGAACCGTGACGAAAAACTACCACTTTACGATTCTGTGCGAAAAACTACCACTTTTTTCCTAATCCGTGGCAAAAAACTACCAAGTCGCGAAATCGCTCGCTTCGCCTCTTCTAAACGCATTTCTGACAGGATGGGCCCACCTGTCAGCATCAATCTTCTTCTTCCTCCTCCTCCTCCTCTCTCTGGCATTTCCTCGAACACCTCGCGTGCACTCCGGTGACCCTCTCGCCCGCACTTCGCCGCGTCCACGACCACCTCGTGCAGCTCGCGGTCGCCGTCCCCGTACCACGCTCGCTCGCCATTGTCAGCGCCCGCTGCTTCCCCTCTACTCCTTGGCCGCGCGCCGGAGCTCGTGCTCCGAGCCGCACCCGCACGCGCGCGCCCGCGGCGCTCGTGGCCGCCCCTCGCCATGCGCACCGTGGTCGCTGTCCCCGTACCACGCTCGCTCGCCAACACCTGCCCGCACACACCTGCTACGCCCGCGGCCGCGCCCCCGCCTCCGGCCGCCCGGGCTCCTCGCACCTGCCGCCGCCGCCCTTCACCGCTGGAGTCGCTCGCCGCGGCAGCCGCGGGTCAGCGCTGGAGCCGCTCGCCACGGGTCAGCGCTGGAGCCGCTCGCCGCGGGTCAGCGCTGGAGTCGCCACGGGTCGTTGTTGCAACCGCCAGAGCCGCTGCGGGTCACCGCTGGAGCCGCCCGCCCCTCCACCTCCTCCTCTGCGACGCGCTGCTCTGCCTCACGGCGACGCAATCTCTCGCGCGGTCGCGGCGGGGGCAACAGCGACGGCAGGAGCTTGGTGGGCACGACGACGGCGGGGGCAGCAGCGCGGCGGGGGCAGCCGTCGTCGCTCACGGCGGGGGCAGCAGCGCGGCGCTGGCGGCCACGCGGCAGTGGCCGGCCCCAGGAGCTTGGTGGGCACGACGACGGCGAGGTGGGAGCGACGACGGCGAGGCGGGAGCGGGCGCGCGCGTGCGGGTGCGGCTCCGGCGCGAAGGATGGCCAGGGTGGCACCTGGTTCGTGGGCCCAAGCGGTCAGATTTGTGCTTAGCGCGGGCCAAGCGAGCGATTTCGCGACTTGGTAGTTTTTTGCCACGGATTAGGAAAAAAGTGGTAGTTTTTCGCACAGAATCGTAAAGTGGTAGTTTTTCGTCACGGTTCCGTGAATTGTGGTAGTTTTTGGTTAAATACTCGATGCTCAAGCTATCAATATTGCATAGGTAGTAGTTTGATTAGCCATTCTGCATTCTGCAAATGAATATGGAAGCACTGCTAACTATTTCTTCCTGCTTGAGAGTGAACCTTTGACCTTTTGAATGGCGGCCCTCACTCTTTTTTTATATTTCTTTTTTGATTTGTGAGAGAGGCATCAATATTGACGAATATAGCTCTTCATAATGATGAAATTTGCAGGGAATAATTGACAAAGCGCTTTTGAGTCTTCTTTAACTTGATGAGTGTGCTTATGGAATAATCAATTACTGTGGGATAGCGAGAGATATGCTATATAGGTAGGTAGGTAGGTAGGTATGGTGTGAACACAAGGAAATGGTTTATTTTCTGGGATTTGTATATGTACACCAGCAGAGTTTGTGATATCCTGATGAAGGAATGCAATGCCGAGTGTTGAAGAGGCTGGCAAACATAAGTTACACAAAAAGAATGACTGGATTTCAAAGACTTCAGACTAGAGGAACATCAAACTTAACAATACGCACTAAAAATTCAGATTGCAATAATCAAAGGCTAATGAAATATGTTGTTTTTGGCATTGGTAGGACAGAAAAAATACTCCGGATCAAGAAGAGAATAAAATCACCTTCACCATACTAAATTCAGGAGGTTCTAGGAATAAAAATTAGCAAGCTCGAGTCTTTTTGCTCAATCAATGTTCATCAATCACCTAGTAACAAGTGTTCTCTACCTTTATTTGTATCAGCTGAAAACTCTCTTGTGTTAATTTAATTCAGCATGACAATCATTCAGAGATTACGAGAGTGCTCAAAAGCTAGACTGCCAACTTATCAAGAAAGCAGGAATTCTCTAACCTATGTTTCATGAGGCAATAAGAGTTCGACAATTACACATTGAATACAATCTATCTTAGCTAAACCCATCATGAATTTCAGCAGGGGTTTACTGACCTTCCCTCAAACCTGCTACCACTGCATTGTTGAATTCCAAAGTTGTCCACAGGCCACGTCTATTGAGCAACCAAGAAGCTTAGTTCCGTCTAAAAAGTTTGGAACATAAGACAAATACACGAGTACCCTTTTAGACTTGTGTATGAATAGACAAGGCATACCAATTAGTGAAAGCCCGAGATCTCATTTACTCGACGCAAGCACTGAGATGGTTAGAAAGGTATTCTTGTAAAAAGTTCCTGTAATTAACAAAATTTCATTTAGCAACAAAGCTTATGAAGAATGCAGGAACACCTCCTATCTGTATCAATGTAGCATCGAACTGAAGGAACTACAAACCTTAATTTCAATAGCAAATCTGCAAAGCCTCACCGCTGAACAAGTACACCAGCAAGTTTTGGTGAATGATGACCAAATGTAACTGCAAAGTATCTTGAAACCAACCAGAACAAGCATAAGAACACCTGCACAAGAAACAAAAAAAATGTTTGAACGCATATTAAATTTCGTCCGTGAATAGAATGGCATTAGCTGAGGATCATGTTGGTTTTCTTGATATTTTTCAGTTCGACAAGGAACATCTAGGTATCGGTAATATGGTTGGAGAAGTTTAACACGTACTTACCAGATTTATGTACTATGTACAGTACAGTAAGAAGATACTCCCTCTGTTCCTAAATATATGTCTTTTTAGAGATTTCGATAATGACTATATACGGATGTATATAGACATATTTTTGAATGTAGATTCACTCATTCTACTTCGTATGTAGCCCGCATTGAAATCTTAAAAAAACTTATATTATGGAACGGAGGGAGTACAACACCAAAGATCCTCATGTGCAGACTTTGATAGATGGGGATGATTCAACAAGGCTAAAAACTGTACAGCTCCCAAGGCAGAGACCTGTAAAGTATATGAAAATACACAGTGTTCAGATTTTTCAGTTATGAGGGTAAATCAAATCCGAAATATGACTTGATATGTGAGACCAGTAAAAAGCAAGGAAACGTTGGGTATTGGGATGAGCGCAGATAGCGAAGCTTCTTTTTTTTTACCTTGGTACTCTAGTATGATTCTCAGGATGGTTCCTGATTAACTGCCGTTATCGCAAATCAATGCCAAAACAAGCACTGTGAGCATCACTGCTATACAACACTGTTTTCATGGTAACAAGCACTGTGTTATCAATGTTCCATTCCATGGTAACACTGTTTTCACCACTCAAATGCCCCTTTGTCAAAACTGCACTCTTCTGAAACTGATGCTCTCTGTAGATCCAGTCCTCTGAACTAATACTGAAGGGACAGTACAAATTTCATGTTCAACCTTGTGACTCTCTCCGTTTACTTGATGAAGAAATGGGACTTAATCTTCTCCCTTCTCTTGTTTCTGTGACTAACACAAAAAAGCCTGCAGAACATGCCAAAACAAATGGTGAATACAATATAAGCCCTGGATAGAAAGAAGAAAAAGAAAAAGAAAAACTAAAATCTTAGTAGTGGACTAGCCATCAATAAAGGTTGTAATAGCAAGTGTTAGATTGATACAGGATCCAGGAAACAAAGAACTAGTCCTGTGCTATGCCAAAAAGGAAACAAGGTAAGTTTGGTTTAGAGAATAAATAAAATGCTCCATGATCTCTGGACAGATACAACTAGATACATTAAATCCTCAAATCAGGCAAGGTTAATGCTGCATAGACGGGAAAAAGTTCTCACTTCTGTGTATTATTTTGCTAGGAACACTCTCTCGTATTTGGAGTACTGATCAATTTACACAATGGTAATAATTTTCTAATTTAATAGAAAGGCCCTCGAATTGTTAGTCACACTCTATATTAATAAAAAGCATGCACTCAAGAGCAGTGATTTAAACTAATAGAAGTGGGAGCAATTTTTATCAGACGGATAACTATAAGCAGATACTTTTCAGACAATTCGCATCTACTTACCAGATGTATTGACATGAAGAAAAATACCACACAGGACCTCATGTGCCAACTGTCCACAGATGGGGATAATCCCACAAGATGAAAGTGATGCATGGACCAGCTGCACGGTTGATGGAAGCAAACAATGTTCACAATATGCAATAGCGAGGTGAACCAAACCAGAAGAAAAATGGGTTGGCGTCTGTGGTATCAGAAAAAAGCAAGTGTAATGATGGAAATCAGGAATTGGTACGAGCAAGGAAGTATTTGTTACCTTGGGTTGATCTATAGTTTGATTTTTGGGATGGTTCCAATTAACCGCTTGCAGTGCTCTTTTAGGTCCTCATTGCCGCAATCCTCGACATCTAATTCTCGCAGTGAACTCGGGAGGCCACCCTTGGGCAGCGACTGGAGGGCTGGACACTCCCAGATCCATAATCTCTTGAGGTTGGTCAGCTTGTTTAGCCCTGCAGGGAGGTGTTCCAGCTTGCCGCAATCCAAAAACCAGAGATCCTGGAGCAAGGTGAGGCGTTGAAAGGCCTCCTCCTGCTCCTTTGTGAAGCACGTAATCTCATCGTTCCCATCAAAGTACAAGTCGGTGAGGGAGGAAGAGAGGAGGCTACAGAGGGCGGGCGCACCGAGGAAGCCCTTCATGTCATCTGTCTCGAGCGTCTGCAGTTTGGATTCTGTCCTCTTATCTTGCTCGTCCTGCATCCCCCGCATGGGATCCCACCCACCAAAGAAATTGGGGCTTCCAGAGACTTCTAATTGGCTGAGCTGGCCCTGAGTAAGGAGTGGCAAAAGGCCCTCGCAACTTAAATCCTCTCCGCAACGAGATATGTGTAATCGGGTGAGAGAGGTGAGGTTTGAAAGGGTCTGCACGCGCACGCCCTTCACGGACCGAAGGTGCAGGTGTAGCAGGGAGGACGGGAAAGGGTGGCGAAAAGAGCAATCTTCTAACCGAAGGGTAGTTAGGGCTTGGAGGGCATCAAGGGAATGAACTACCAGACCATCATTTTTTATGTACAACGCCTGCAGAGAGTTGGAGAGATGTGCAGGGAGGACCAACAGCCCATCATCATCCACCGTGTTTGCCTCCTCCTTCTCCACCTCTGCTATTTCTTGCTGCTCATCTTTTGCTTGTGTATCATCCATTGCAACATCTAAAGAGGTTGATGATGATATTGGTGCTGTTGTTTGCTGCAAATCCACCCCCACAGCAAACTGTGTTATGTTTTCACAATGGAATACGCCCAATTTGGATAGCTTTGGGAGGTGAGATAGGAACTGTGTCAATTCCTTTCCACTAGAATCAGATCCCCTAATTTGAATTTCCTCAACAGGATGCTGCCACTCGACACCACTCTGAACTTCTGATGCCACCACCCCAAGATTTGAAGACCGTGCCCACAATTCCTTCAATGAGGTTAGCATTAGAAAATACTTCAGCTCCAAAGGTGGGCAATTTTTTATCGTCAACTCCTTAAGGTCTGTTAGTTGACTGAATAGTAACAGCTGATCTAAGTTATGCAGACCATCCTTTGCATCAATCTCCAGTGCTACTCGAGAAGATGATTTTGAGTAGACCAACTTGTCCAGTAGTTTTGATCCCACATCACTTATCTTGACAGAGCACAGAGACTCAGTCCAAGGGATAGGAGGCACTAGCAAGACTTCAGGGCAGTTTTTAATCCTAAGCTCTTTTAATCTGGGAAACCAATCTGTGTAACAGTCTTGTTTCAGTGGGTAAGCAATGTGGCTTGAACATGGCAACTCCGAGAGTTTAGGGCAATCTTTAATAATTAGTACTTGCAAACAAGGGAACAAATGAGTGGCCTGTGGTACCCATTTTTCAAAAGTTTCTAAGCCGACGAGTGTAAGCTTTACTAGCTTGCAAAAGCTTTTCTCTAGAGCAAACTCCTTTATTGTGGCTATATGCTCAACTGTTAGTTCACGAAGATCCCACATCTTTCCCAGAGAAGGATAAACATCCCAAGAAACACCAACGAGATGAAGAGATCGTAGAGCCTCAACAGCGAGCTTATCACCCAACCATGTTGGACAAGGACCTCTGTGTCCTCTAATGGATAACTGTTGAAGATTTCTATGCGGTTGAAGGCTCTCTAGAACCACTGCTTCCACATCGGGTTGAATATTGGATCGCTCACTATCCCAATCTAATGTTAACTTCTGCAAGTATTTTTTGTCTATCAGTTTTGCTTCAACTGCTTTTTCTTTTGTGCATATTTTCTCAAGGTTATAAATCCCAAGCTCCCTTATCTCAACGAGATGCTCTAGTTGATTTAGTTCAAACCCTTCACTTTCCTTATCGACTGCAAAGACCTTTAACTCCTGTAAGAGCTTTAGTTTCCCCACGTTATAAATACCAGAATGAAGTTCATCGTGTTGGGCAACAAAATGGCACAATTTTGCAAGGTTACTCATGTCTCTAGGTAAAAGAAAAGAACCATCCCATTCTTGTAGATCCAAAATCTTCAAATGATAAAATCGAGATAAGGTTGTTGGTAAATGCATCTGGCTCATAGAAGTCCCTAGCTTTAGGTATCGTAGGTGGAGAAGTGATGAAAAGTTATGCAACATGGATTCCAGGGTATATGATAACGTGGGCAAACAAAGAACACGAAGAGCATTTGCTTCCATGAACAAATCACCAAAAATGTTGACAAAGCTTGCATCTCCTCCCCCAAATATAATTAGTGTTTGCAAGTTTTCAACCTTCAATTTTGTGTTAAGTTTCCTCAACTCACTCTTAAAGTTCTCATCAGTAATTCCATTACTATCATCTGGATCATCCATTATGATTGACAAGTGACGGATAGATGGCCAAATTTCTACTGATCTCACATTAGAGTGATGAAAACTAAGACATTCATGAGATGCAACCTTCAAAGCTAAATCATGCAGCAGGTCATGGATGATATAATATGGATACCCGTCAGTTTCATCTTTTTTGAAAAATCCATGGTTGACTAAATCATTCAAACTGTCCGCACCTACATCTTCAACTGTTTTACTTCGACCACCAGACTGCAAAATATCTAGTCCTATCCAGAAATGAATGAGCTCTTGACTGTTAAACTTGTAATCTTCAGGAAACAATGCACAACGAGAAAAACATTGCTGCAGATGAAAAGGTAGATAATCATAGCTAAGTTTCAGTGCAGGCATGATGTCACGCTCACCGGTCTGCATTTCCCATTCTCTACTTTCTAGGACTCTTTTCCAATGATACACATCAAGGTGGTTTCTTAATAATCTACCTACAGTTTTTGCTGCAAGAGGGGATCCCTTTAGCTTTTCTGCTATCTTATCTCCAATCTCAAGCAACCCATGATGATCTTTTTGTGATTGCTCATCGCGAAAAATGCATGCTCGGAAAAAGTCCCTAAACACTCCTTGTTCTAGACCCTCCAGATCTATTGAACTATCAGTCGTTTTAACCATTTCTGCTATAGCTGGAAACCGAGTTGTCACTAGAATTACGTTGCCCTTTGCCTGCACTTTTCTAAGTGGTACTAAAAGCCTTTCCCAGTCCTCAGATTCACACTTCCAAATATCATCTAATATAAGCAAAAACCTTTTAGAATTTAATCTCTGTTCAATCAACTCTTCTGCTCTAACCTTTTTTTCACCTTCCACACCAGGAATGGCTTTTTCAATCTCTTCAGTCAGCTTACTAACAATGAAATTCTGAGACACACATATCCAAACCTTGACCTGAAAATGTTTTTGCACTTCTTGGCTGTGATATATGTGTTGTACGAGAGTTGTCTTCCCTATGCCACCCGAACCAACAATTGGCAGGATAGTTAGGTCTTTGTCACTATATTTAACATGAGAAATACTATCTATGATGCTCTTCTTCGCAGTTTCTCTCCCATACAGTGTTGACTCTATAATGTCAGAGGTGGTGGTGGAAGGACTCTTGGCAATGCTTGGGGCAGTAGTATGGCTAGAACCCAACAACTCTAGATTAAGAATGGCTTTGACCTTTGCACATACTGGCTGCAGTTGCTCTACAATATGCTTCATTCTTTTAGACAGATCAACCCTATCAAACTCTAGTTTTGGAGTTTCTTTCACATGCTTTTTCAGGGATGCCTTGTGCTTGCAGGCACCGCAAATGACTGGCATAACAGAACTATCATCATCATGAGTTGGGAGGGATGAGCAATGGAGGAGTTTACCAACATGACGGATGGTGTTGCAAGCGCCAGAAGCAAGCTTGCGCATGCATCTTCTGACCTCTTCGTTGGCCTGGTGGTTGTGTGGCGCTGACGGGGTGTTTCCGCGTGCACTCCACTGCTTGGCACATGGCCAAGCGCAGCAGAGTTCTTGTTGCCTTGTATCAACTCCCCTTGGCTTGCTTGGATCAGCACGGCTAGCTGTACGCGAGAATGGACAGAAGCAGAGCAGTTTGCCAGCATCTCTAGCAGTGTGATGAGCGTGGAGGTAGAGGTTGCACATGGATCCCTTGGCATGCTTGTCGGCAGCCTCGTAAGTACCCTCGAGCTGGTCCTGGATGCGGAAGTAGTCGAGCTCATCCAGCACGTCCTCGGCATTGTACGCGAGGTCCCGCAGCTTCTGCAGTAGCACGTTGAGTGCAGGGTTGTCAATGTTCCGGCCGCGGGTGTTGTTGAGCATCCCCTGCACGTATAGCAGCTCCATCTTTAGCGCGTCAACGTTAGGGCCTAGCTCCTTGCTGGCAGCCCACGCCTCCAGCAAGCCGTCAGCGACGGGGCCCAGCGCCTTGCCCACCACCCACCATGCCGCACCTACGGCCACCTCCATGCTGAAATCAAGGGCGCTGCATGCAGGAAGAGTAATTCATTTCTTCGCAGTTTCCCACTAGCTAGCAATAACTGTGACAACATTGTTGACAGGGTAGGATATCGGCGTACAGAAGGAGATTAGAAAAAACAATACCAGATGATTGCAGTTGCGAGCGAGAGAGCAGGGAGGCAGAGATTGGTGAAACACAAGACCAGCCAGATGATTGCAGGCGCAGTTGTTGTCGATGTTTGGGTGTGGAGGATAGGGAGAAATAGGCGTGGGGTGATCCATTACGTGGTATTGGCATCAGTGAGCTGATACTTTGTCCTGCCGGACCTATGCTGGTGCAAACAAAGTAGCAATGGTCGAGAAGGAGCCAAGACATCTCAGGACACACACATTCTGTTTTTCTGGGGTGAAGCAAGGCATGTATAATACCTATGCTTGCTGTCCTCCCAAAGCAGGACCTTTGGTGAACAACAAGGAAAGGAATTAGCAGGCAAGGAATCGGGAAGCGGCAGCAGCGAGCTGGTTAAAGGTTACGAATAAGGCACCAGCTTTTTCTCTGAGATATGTTTCCTTATCCCTTTCTCACTTTTCTGGTTTACCTCTTGGCTCTTGCTGTTCCGCAGAGCACAAAGACACAAATCTTGTAGTCTTCAGAGGTACTACTACTTGCATTTGCAGTAGTAACTAGTACTACTCCTAAAAGACAGTGTGAGATAAGAAGGTTAGGTGAAGCGGCCATAATTTGATCGAGATGTTTTGCGTTGTTGCTTGCGGCTCGACTCGAGTATCTAGCGTTTTGAGCAGAGAGGCGTACTTGTGAGATTTGACTGGGTGAAACATCACAATCAGAAGTTTACAGGATGACAGGACACGACCGGCCGGGAAGGGGGGAGAGGGGCTTGGAGGGAGATGCGGGCCACTTACGGAGTGGAACCGGCTGCGGCGAGAGACAGCGGGCGGAGGTGGAGGTCCTAGCTGCCGCCGCCGGCTACTGGTCTCCGGCGAAGCCATGGCGGCGGCCGGCCTTGGTTGGTTGTGTGACCTTGTCGCCGCTGAGGAAGGAGTGGGCAGAGATGGGAAGCTTGGGTCTGGGACCTGAAGCCCAGTGGAAAGCCCAAATAAGCTAGCCCACGTCATTCGACATTTTGTTTTGCACGTACGGAAACAAAAAAAAAGTTGCTAAAAAACGGAAACAAAAAAAAAACATCTTTTCACCTACGGAAAACAAACGAACTCCGTTCCACCGCTACCAGGCATCGGTTCGGAAGGGAACCGCTTTGGGATCTTGGTTTTATTTTCCCCCTATTGCCTTCCTTTGATTTGTGCTTGTTTTTTTTTCCTACAGAAAACTGGAGACTGCAGAGGGGGTTACAAACTTATAATGAACCAAGGGCAACATGTCGGTCCACACGATCGACATCAACAACTAACAAGTAAACTTTGAATAATTATGTGATGCAACATTAGCCTCCCTACTTTCTCAAATTTTTAACAATACTAGCATGGTGTGCATTCGATTTTTTCGGTTTGATTCGGTTTGGTTTATACGGTATATGATTCATATGGTTTTTATACTTATATGGTTTATACATAGAACTGTTCAGTTTCGGTAATAACTATTTACTTTCGGTTCGGTTTCAGTAATAACCAAATTAACCAAAGTTGACGCGAATTTCTAAGCCAACACATAACTTTTCCACTTGTAAAAACAATTAAAAAATGAAAAAGAAGGGACGTTGGATAAGCAGTCAAGCCAATCACGTAAATTGAAGCACTAAATGGGCTAGACATTACTATACTATAGCAGCCATTACGCTTTTGAACAAAAAAAAACCTTAATTTCGGTAAATTCAATTTAACCAAATGGTTTTCGGTTTCTACTGATAAAAATTAAAATCAAAATGGTTTTCATATTTCAAAATTGGAACCGAAACCTAAAAAAACAAATTTCAGTTTGGTTTGGTTTGGTTTTTTTGTTCGGTTTGGTTTTTAGTTCGGTTTTGGACACTCTTGCTAGCATGTGAGGTAACATCCATCATCTTTTGTGTGACGTAAGTATTAGATATTAATTTATATTTTCCATACATTTCTATCGAGGGTTTTACATTGATCCTAACGGTGGTATTGGAGGGAGTAAGTGGAATTTATAGTTGAGGGGTTGCCATGTCAAGAGATCAAGTGTCTTGGAAACAGAACACAAAAGACATGATATACCCAACTTCATGCTCAAGTCATACTTAATGTGTTGCTCTTTTCTTTATATGTAGAGAATATAGAGGATTACCATGCCGAGGGAGGAACTCGACTAATTTGAGGAAATTCAATGAGTTTATGATGATGGTGGTGATCTCGGTGAAAAATGTTGAAAATCGCCTACACTGTATGGATTCTTTGTAAGGTGGGGGAGACGACCCCTCTACGTTGCCCTTGTTGCCACTTATATAGCATTGGTTATGGACAACTCCATGCCCAGGCGCACAGGGACAAGAGTCAGACACAGTGTCGATATACAACATGTTTGGCCCTTTTTCTATGTTATGTAGTGTATGCATTGTACCCTGATGTTGTCTAATGGATGGTCTCTTCCCAAGGCATTATCGCTTCTACATGGGTCGATTGGTTATCCTTGGACCCTGGGGGGCACTAGAGCGATGATGGTAGGTGATTTGACTTATCACCAACAACCACTGTCAATACTCGTAATGCAACAAGGTCTATGAGTAGAGTTGATGCGGATACTCGTGGACTTCTTGTCTTATCCCTCTTGATGAGTAGGGTTGAATCCTCTATGATGCTTCTTGATGTTGTAGATTGTCTTGTGATGTTTGGATTCTATAGTGGAGCAGGTTCTGGCTATCGCGGGTGGTCTTGGCCCTTTCCTGAGGTGTTGGGTGGCTATTGTTCTTTGGCCAGGTTGAAGGTGTTTGTTCGGCCACGCTTCTATGTGGCATGCGGTATGTTGGTGGTCCTCGGTTTTTTGGCTACGACGACGAGGTGTTGCAGTGGCAAAGGTGCGAGGCTACATTGACGGTGCCAATTTCTTTGAGGCGTGGAGATGTGTGATGATCGGATAAAAATCTTATATGACTTTTGTCGGGCCGGTAGTGATGGAACTCGTGGTATCCACTTGCCACCTCCTCTCAGGCATACACGGTGGATGGTGCACCGACAAGCGAAGTTCAGTGGGAACTGGTTGTCTTCGGAGGTGCCAGTCGTTGGTTGAGACGCGATGTTGTTCTTGGTTAGGACATGCTCTTTTGCTTTGTAGTTTTGTTTGATCATTGGTGGCTGTCGTCGGACGTGTCCGAGCATGGTGATCGTGCTACGCTCGTTGTTTGCAGCGAATGGTAGTTTTTTTATACTTACAATTTTGTCTTCAATAAAGCTAGGACCTTGATAAGTCCCACATGTGTGGCACGAATCAATTCCGCCCTGACGTTTTTTGATGGCAACTTTAGTTATCCGGGGATGGCAACTTTAGTTGTGAAGCATGCATGGCAACTCTCTATTTGAATGACAAGTTTCAGTTTCTTTTGGGTTTCGTTTTTTTCGGATGACAATTTTAGTTGTAAAAATGTCAAGACGATGTTACTTCGTGCCACACGTGTGGCACTTATCATTTGGGTAAGGGGAATCCTTCCCTTCAGCCGACGGATTACAACGTAGGCGTCGACCTCCTCTATCGAACGACATGTGTCCCTGTTTCCCAGCAACCGCTTATCCATGTGTCCCTGTTTCCCAGCAACCGCTTATCCATCCTAGCCTTATCTCCTCACAAAGCAAACCATCCACATATTTCTCCTCTCCCAGGCATTCTTCTTCCCTTCTGTTGATTTCTCACCACCCCAACCGCCACAAGGCAAGACTCCGGCGCACCGTCGCTACTTCTACAACCCATAGCAACACCTTTGTTGCAAGAAGGGCAACCACGCAACATGCACCACCACGGGCGGCCCCGGTGCTTTAGGCGCGTCTCTAGCTATTGCAGGACCAGATCCACGACATGGTGTTGTGAGTGTGTGCCACTTGTGGCCGTGGGGACAAATTTCCATAGCTTTCCTGGTGCAGGATTTTGCAACGGGAGGTTACTGAAACATGACAGATATTGCAGGATGTCACACGTCATCCAACGACCGTTGCCAAAAAAAATCTGAACAAGATCTCAGTTCACAAAAAAAACCGCAACAAGATCTTGGTTGCAAAACTTTTTTTTTTTGCAACAAAACCTTTTTTTTGCAAAAAAAAAATCACAACATGACCCGTGTTGCAGAAAATTACTGCAACACGACCTTTGACTCTGCCTAGTCCGACGTTTCGCAGGGCAAAGGATTTTTTAAAAAGATTCACCGACCGACGCGTAAAAGTGTCCATGGATAAAGCTAGGGTACACTTCTTTTTGAAGGCAAAGCTATCCTACACCTGGACGTTCTACTACTACTGAAAAAACTGGCCACGTTGGAGGCACGTAAGAAGTCCAGCTAACTCGACGGGCCACTCCAGTTGGCTCGATACACACTGGAAGGGGGCCCGGCGTTGGAGCGGACGTGGGGGCTGCCGATTGGGCGGCACCGGATGACGATGCTCCGCTCTGCTCCCCCGGCGGACAGACTCGCACCGTCCACCGTCCGTCTTCCCCCGAGCAAAGCTGCCAACGCCACCTGCCCACATCATGGTGGGGAAAAGGAAATCCACCGCGAACCGAACTCCAACAAAACGTCCCCGTCCGTCGACAACGCGGAGGACCCGAAGCCGACGCCGACGCTCGGAGCCATGGCCCTCCTGCCGCTTCTGGGTTCCCCCTCCTTCCCGTTCGCGGCCTCGCGCCCTGCCCGCCCGTCCAGGTACTACCGCCGGCCACTAGTAGCAGCAGCGCGAGGTCCTTCGCTTAGTTTCTTCGCTTCATGTGTTGGATGGATTGATCCGCCGCCGCTAGATCAGGGCGGGTTGCGGTCGCTGCAATGTGTCCTGGCTTTTGGATTTTGGACTGGTGTTGCTGCATTCTGTAGTCT